TCGCCGACAACCGTCTGGTGCACGAGGACATCGCCGCTCGGAACTGTTTGATCGCCAGCAACTTGACGATCAAGATCTCGATGCCGTGCATGACCAAAGAGCCCTACCATCAGGAGTACACCAAGCACCGGAATCAGGTTATCCCCCTGAGATGGCTACCCTACGAAGTAGTCTACGAGGACGAGTACTCGACCAAGAGCGACGTTTATTCGTTCGCCTGCCTCGTCTGGGAGATGTTCCACCAAGGAGAGCTGCCGTTCAATAAGATGAACGACGAGTCCGTGCTGATGTCATTGAAGGCTCGTACCCTCACGTGGAAACCTCACAAAGCGGCGCCCCCTGCTCTGCAGGAGCTTCAAATTCAATGCTGGGCCAACGATCCGCGGGATAGACCCACTTTCGACGAGATCGTTTCCAAAATAGGTGAAATTGTCGTCGACAGCTGTCTCTAGATTGTGTCGACGACGCCACGAGGCTCTAAATCGGGGATACCGAAGCAAGAGTGACGATTGGGCGAAACCGCGCGATCCGAGGTACGAGTGAAAAGGTAACGTGACTCTTGCCATTCGAAAGTATACGACATCAAATTAACCCCTCCGTAATCCGAATTTTTTGTTGCATTCGACAAGAATTGTCTAACGCGACATTTTCATGAGAAATATTGTAAATATCGTTGTACTCTTCGAACGATACAAAACAACGAAATTACTTTAGCAACGACCTGATAATCAAATTTCACGAAGAGAAAGAACAACTCGGAAGGAGTTTCTCGCAATGATCGCTCGTGTCGCGGTATTCCGTCGCGTCCATTAGGCCGTTAAGGATATATAATTTATTTGTAACAGAAGGATTCCGCTCCACGTGACTGCTAACGCAATATTTAGTACTCAGTATCAAGTGTAACGATATAGGTATACCGATCATCGCACATCGAATACTCGTAAGATATACGCTACGCTGCCGTTTAAGGCAGAGATCGCAAGCTACAGTGTGAATGCATCGTTTAAGAAAGTATCACGACCATATCAACGTTAAACGTACGACGATTTTTATATCCGCCTAACTCACGTCTACACTCGTTGTATTCCGTTAAGGTCTAACGCTTAAGGATTATTTATAGCGTACACTTATTATATGAATATGTATATAATATATACAGGGTAGGTCTACGCGTGCCTCGAACGAATCGGCCACCAGTCTAGATTGGCACTTGTCTAGAGACGCGCCCTGTATATGTACGTACACAGGGTGGAGCCAACTCGACGTTGTTCGTGCAAACGCACGGATATTAATTCCGCCGAGAATCGTTGGGATTTAATCGAAACTTACGTATTGAAATTGGCGTTCCGCTAGTGGTTTCGCTTGGACCACCTCGGGTACGTACCAGAGCTGAAGAGAATCGTTTCGAAGAGGATAAAGTAAACGGCCTTGTACATACCGAGGGTATATAACTGTAAGTTTGTTCATTAAGTACAACCGCGAGATTCGGGTTTGATTTTTCGTTCGATAGGCACTTCCGAGGGATCGCGACGCTATCCGACTATCCTGCAATAGCAAAGAAGGCGCGTCGAGTGTCCGTGTCGCGAAGAGCCGTACAACGAAGCCAGTCCTTTTGTTTTCGTTTCGTTTCGTTTAACTTCGGAAGCACCGGGAATTTATTCTACGCGCGTACGAACGCTTCGCGAATAGCTCGATCTCGACAGACCTTGGGCACTTTCTTACATTAACATTCTTCGATATACCGTTCAAAATAACACGCTTACCTCAGTACTGTTTCTTTAAATGAATTTGAAGATGATAACTTTTCCATTCGGAATAACGAAATGACAATTAAGATAGATACTTTTTATTATATTTTGTATTATAAGTGTTCGCCCAAGTCTGGATCTCAACGCGTTGCTTTCGCTTCGTCGATGAAATAATTCGTCGAAGCGGTGAAGTATGATTTGTCCCAAAACGTTTGGTTAATGGGATAATTCCCAATACTCGGTACGATCGTATAACGTATTCCGCATCCGATATATTACTACGATTACTATCATAGCTCACGCAAGGGTAATTCGCACGTACGCTTGCAGAGCTGTCCACAGAGCTGACTCGCGCATAAAATCGAGGTATCGCAAATACGAAGGACGTAGATCTCACGAGCAACGCATGCAGCGAGACTAGCGTCTAAGAGACGCGTGGCTATCTCCGTTACTTCTTGGAACAGCTCGTATCGTACCAGACGGGAGATAAAGACCTGTAACGAGCGAGCCTCGAGCTTGAATTCGTTTAGAAGACCCATCTTCGTCTCTTTTATAGCATTACCAAGGAAAATTACTATTACTTCGACGTAAGTACTTGGAACATGCTCGGCCCAGCTCTGCATACGTATCACGCGCATCAAATATATAATGTATCATATACGCATTTAGATGTACGAGACACTAAGGTAAACACTGCCAATGAGTAATCTCTGTAACGTTAAAGGTTCATAATCATAGCGAATACGACCATTCCCCTAATTTAATGCACCGTCGTCGCACCGCGGAAGGATCGACGCTCCATTTATACCGATCCCTGTCTTCTGCGAGCGTACGCGGTTCTGCAAGAACTCGTCGATCGTTGTCGTCGATCGTTCGCAATATCAAATTCGATTCGAACAATAATTATTCATTGAATTAATTATTAAAATGTTAGTAAAAAAAAACCAGTGTTTCTTGAACGAAGAACTCAATTATTACAGACGCTAAGAAACATTTGATCGATCATCGAGGTTGCTTCCTTAAAACAGAAAATCTGTTTTTATCCCCGGTGTTTGTAATAATTCGAGAGACAGAAACGCGGATCGATCGATCGACGACCAACGCACGCGGGAGCGCTTGCAAACCGGTCCTGGTCTGGTTTCTCTCAGATGCTTCCTAAATGTTCGCAGTATAATGCCAAGAAATATTCTTGTAATGTAAAGTATGTTGGGAGCATACCTTGCAACAATCTTTGCTCGCGCCCTAACGTAATCGTTAAGGATTAAAAGTAATCGATTTCGAGTTCCGACGAGTCCAAACCGTGCTCATATCATTCGCTGATCGTATTTTCCAGGACTGCGATCGTCGACCCGTTGACTTGTCTCTCCATTTATAATGTACAGGGTGATCCCAGAGAATGGAACATTTCGATTTCATTTCTTTCTCAGTTTTTTTTTTTTTTTTTTTTTTTTGTAGTTTAGGTGCATTTTCCATTCCTTTCCTTTTCCCCTCTTTTTCAATGTATTTCCATTGAATTTCATTCCCTTCGTTTACCTTTATTTTCATTTTATCAAATTTCATACCAATCGTTAATCCAAAAGCAAATATAAATTTCTGTTAACAAAAATGATGCAATTGATGAATGCATATGCATCGTTCCAGTTCTGTGGAACTTGCATGGGACTGTTACGCCGAGGAAATACGTTTTCCCCGATGTTCGTACGCAATCGTCGTTCACCTGGAAAAGTTTATATGTACTCGAGTATATCGCGAACGATCGTACTTGTGTTTGCTTAACCGTCGTTTCGCCTAATTGGATGGCAAGGCGAGGGGTCGACGCGGCCAAACACCGACTGAAAGAGAGAGTGAGAGAGAGAGAGAGAGAGAGTGAAAGAGAGCAAAGAAACGCTGCGCCGGTGATTTTTAACGAAGCGACCTATTATTATGCCTAATGTGTCTAGTCATACACGGTGGGAAAAGTGTTAGCGAGCAGCGAACGCAAGATCCATTTAAAAGAAAAAGAAACGACATTTTTCATATCCCAAGGCGTTTTGTAATCCATTTCTTTTTTACAGTATTTTGTAAATATTTGTACTTTTTTATCTACACTTATCGTACTTATGACTCTTTGAAATAGTATGTGCTACGATTAAATAAAGGTGGATAAAACCGAAAGAGCGTTTATTCATTGCTGAGAATGTAATTAATCTATTTCATTCATCTATTCTAGATCTCTAGATACTATATTTTACATTAGTTAACAACGAGAAGTATTATTAGTTTACATTTGTTAATCAGACCTGTTTAGTTCGCTGAATTTATTAAAAAAAAAAGATACTAGTTCTAGTACAGACATACCTACATACAGTTAAAGTCGTTTTTTTGTTTTTTTATTATTAATAACATCTTAGTCCATTGTTGGTCCATAGATACATGTTGAAATACAAAAATATAAAACGTATGTATTGAGTTGTCTATACAAAATAAAAAACAAAATAAAGTTGAGTTAATGGGGTTGACAATTTATATCACCCATCTAGCGCCGGGTGGTTAACTAAATATATATAGCGTTAATTTAGTATTTTCAAGAACCAGGTTTTGAAGAACTACGGTGGCGCCATCTCTCCACAAGAGGCCCAAGCAAGTCTTTTAGCAGTATACTCGCTCATTCTGTAATATTATTTCTTATAATTGATTATTAGGTATACTAAAAGCATTGTAATATTAAAATTGATTTGAAAAATAGATCTTAACATTATTTTTGCAATAAATTTTCGAATCAAACTTGATGCGCCATCTAGCGGTATGTCGTCGAACCTGGTCCACTACGACAAGCTTGAGCCTCTTGTGAAGAGATGGCGCCACCGTAGTTCTTCAAAACCAGGTTCTTGAAAATACTAAATTAACGCTATATATATTTAGTTAACCACCCGGCGCTAGATGGGTGATATCAATTGTCACCCCATTAACTCAACTTTATTTTGTTTTTTATTTTATATAGACAACTTAATACATACGTTTTATATTTTTGTATCTGTTTTGTACTTTTGTATCTGTTTCTTCAATAAATTCAATGAATTAAACGGATCCGATTAGCGAACTACGTAATAGTACTTCTCATTATTAACTAGTATAAAACGTGAAAGTTTATCGAGAAATATCTATTTTCTGTTAGTAAGTAACAAGATCAAGTCCGTTGACATAGCATGAATTACGTTAATTATGTAAATTTGATATGTGATGGAGTTTGGGGTTGTAAATGAAATCGTCGTGTATTACCTAATCAAATTTATTTTTACTTAATATTTCGTGGTACAGTCTATGTCTATTTATGATATATAAAATAACGTAGTCGTCGAATGTAAATGGGTGAAACGAAAGAACGCTCGTAAACGCCGACTGAACAAGCACGGCCGGAAAAGAAAAATCGAGTCAGAGGCAGTCGTACGGTGTGATTATTAAATACTTTATGTATATTCATATTTATAATATTTATATATATATTTCGTATATGTATAGGAAATCAACGTGTATACGAAGAGAAAAACCGATAAACGCAGTTTTGACGCGAAGAGTATGTTTAGTAATATTTATATATTTATATATAAAGTCTAATGAATTACTTAATCCGTTACTTATAGTACTTAATTCATTAATATAGTAGCAGCCTCACTCTCTAAATAGTACTAAATATAATAATGGTATAATGCGGTAATTATCGTTAATATAGATTATTAACATTGTAAATAATAATCGTCAGAATCGTATAATAAACAATAGTACAAGGTGTTTTTTGTGGTTTTCAGTGGGTTTTTTTTTTTTTTAAATTGTTATCATATAGTAATAATCACAATAGCGTATTCTGAAAAATAGATCAGGGTCCCGTGGGCAGAGAGCGGAGTACCTCGTATATCAACCAAGCTACTTTTTTTTCTTTCACGTCCGTATCGACCTAGAGAGACCTCGATGGAAATATTTGCGATTCAAGAGGCGATCGAACATCTTCTCCGCTTTTTACGATACCTCGATCGATCGAAGGGAACTGGAAATCGCGCGACGAACGACGATCCCGACCAAGAGCCGCGTCCTGCGCTCGTAAACGGTAGTAGTAGTAATGTAGTAGTAGTAATAGTAACCCTAGCATTAATAGTTGCCGGTAGTACCGATCGTATCTACCGATTTGCAGTAGTAGTAGTACCATACGATATCGCTCGTCACTGTTCCTCGAGACTGGGGCCCGAGACTACTCGAATCATTTCAATGTACTCGAATATCGCGTATAAACGTGGAACATTTTCATACACTCGAATATCAAATATTACTATCCGAACAGTGAAGTATTCGAGTGGGTATTAGAACGGTCAAGTATTCGAATAGTTTTCGAACAGTCGACTACAGAACAATTCGAGAGAGCCCTGGCCCTACTCGATAACTGGCGGATCGGTTCTCGCCAGGTTGGTGTAATGGTTCCTCCAAAAAACTAACGGAACCTTGGAGAGTGTCGCAGCTGGCGTCCCGACGCGATTCTAGGCGGGATCGTAGCCATCGATGAGCAGAGACGGACAAAATTTCGTTCGAACAACAACAAGAATATTCTACAGTAATCTATCTGATCGTTTAACTATCACCGAGACGATTTTCATTTTTCCAACGTGAAATGCACAATTTCACCTCGCGTTTCATACAGTAATTTTAATTGAAGAAACAATGTTAGCCAAAACACTTATCCGGATAAGAAATTCGCTCGTCCCTGCCATAAATCTAGGCAGGCGTCGTCGCGGTGCAAAAGTCAATTCGCCTTCTTTTTTTCTCAGATGCTTGCTAGCGTCTCTTCCGATTCCCTGCGTCTTTGGTCTCTCGTCTACGCGTACTCTTTCCCCAGCACTCTCGCTCGGCGCCACCCCTAAGTCCGACTCCATCGTTTTCGCTTTTTAATCGCGTCTCTGCCGCTCTGCCTAGGGAACCCACTATAACAGGGCACTATGAACAGCAGTCTGCTGGCTAAGTGACATTCCGAATCTACAGTCGCGCCTATTCATTTTCTCCCTCTCGCTCGCTCCCATCCGCGCATTCCCCTCATTTTCACGCTCTCTCGCTCTCTCCTTTCTCTCGATACTCTTCTCCGTTCCCCTGCGTTCTCTCGCATCCGTCCTGCGCACGATCTTTCCATCCCTGCGACCCTTATCCCACGTTCTACGCTTCACCTGCGTCTCTCAAACCCTTCTCCCGACCCCTAGAAAGACCAAGTAAGAGGACTCGACGACCCCATCGATCAGGAAATATTCCGTGTCCCCAAAAGGTAAATAAATAAATTTATTGTACAATTTTACGCGTATTCTGTGTCATCGATGAATAAAAATTCACGATTCTTTGGTTACTCTTCCTATTTACATAACGAAAGTCTCACAATTTTCGTTGACAGCCTATACATCTTGAAAAAAAAAAAAAAAAAAAAGATGACGAAAGGAACATTTTACTTCTCGAGAAAGGAGCGTGTTAATTTCCCAAACGTAGAACTTAACATTGCTCGCAATAGCAGCCGTTGAAGATCGTGTTCCAATTAAAAATATGGAAAATGTGGTCTCCCACCCTTGGAATTTAACGCGACTCGGTCCTTCTAGGGTTAATAGCGAACTATGTCAGGCACGACGACCGCAATACGGTAATGGAAACGAGTTCCCCCTTTTCTCTCGCGTTCCCGCTCCACCTGGCTCGCTCTTACCCCCTGTCGCCGCGGGAGATCCTCTCTTCCTGGCAAAAGCAGGCGTCTCGAGAGTTCCGCTCAAGAGATGGGCAGAATTTTATTCGAATGCGCGAATAAATATTCCGGCTAGCAATTTATTTGCGATTATTCGAGTAAGTTATTGCAATTTTCATCGAACAGATAGGAGACCAAAAGGTGGTCCGTAACGAAATTTTGTATCTACGCGAGAGTTTAGCCTACGTTTGGCTGCGGTACCGAATAAAATTAACCGCGGACGAGGGAGGCCAAAGCGAGCCGAGGTCGTTCGTTCAACATCCGCCTCCGGAATCCACAAAAGCACTCGTTGCCAGCATGCTTCTCCTATGTCAGCATTCACGCTACGTGTCAGCCGATAGTAAATCACTACTATACCTTTTTTCGCGTTATGATATTTTTTTTTTTTTTACTTTACTTTTTTAATTATTTTCTTGGTTTTTCCTCCATTAATAGTAGACTCGCCGTGTCTCTACCGTCAGCCTACTGCGAAAAAATCTACACGACATTCCACGTTCTCTCTCTCTCTCTCTTTCTCACAGTCGCTCCGTAGTCACGTTCACGCGTTAGATTACCATTCTCTCTGTCGCGCACACGCTTTCGAATCTCGCGTCTCACCCACTCGCCTCCTGCGTTTATAAAGAGTATCATATAATATCATTCTCGTGTCGTTACAATATAATTATCGGCAATAATATACCTTCGGTATTAATGCAATATCGTTATTATTAGTATCATTAATATTATTATTAATTATTATTCATTCCCCCGGTGCTATATTCTTTTTTTTAAAATCGGTTCGACTCCGCGGGAGAACGATTCCCATGGGGACCACGGGGACCCGGGGAGCCGTGTGTGAACAAGTGGAATTTCCTCGCGGGCACTGAAACGTCGCGCCAAAAATTTTCACTCTTCGCGTTTCCCTTTTTTCCCCCCAAGTTTCTTTTTTTTTCTTTCTCGCTACTTTTTATTTCATGCAAACGCGCACACGCACAGCCATCCATACGATGCATTCACGCGCTCTCGTCGATTAATATCGAATGGTGTTCTCACTAGTGAATTACGGCGAGTCGCGCGTACGTGCGCGACATTTAAGTAAAAGGCCCACCCCTCGATTCGTTCAGCCTTCCCCCCCCCCCCCCCCCCTCCTCCCGAAATCGCGACTCTGGTCTAGCTTTCTCAGAATTATTCGTCGTGAAACATCTCCATCCCTCGGCGGACAACGCGTCGAGTCCGCTTTCGCGTTTACTTAAAAATCGTGTGAAACTACATTTACTGGACACGGAGTCGCGAGACTGTCGTGGAACGACTGAAAGCTGTGCCGGTGGTTCGGTTGTAATTGACAGTGAATTCGTTGCGACGCCAGCGACGGAGATTTTACGAGGGTTACGGATCGCGGTGCCCCTTTGAACGCGTCCAATTTATATGGACGTGTCCTTAGGTCCAAATCTTGTGTCGTACTTTGTCGAAGAACAAACTATCGTCGAAAAAGGTGCCAGAGTCGCGCCTCTCGGAGTCACTTTTCGTCAAAACGCACGACGGCCGATCGCATTAGAAACTCGATCAAAGACGGGCAACATTTCGTTCCTGTAATAACGAATAAAAAAAAAAAAAAAAAAACGTCGAGTAAAGACACATTCGATCGATCAGTTATCCAGAAGCTAGTTCAACGCGAACTAAAGTTTCATTTCAAGTTAATTTCATTTGTATCCGGATAAGAAGCGTGCCCGTCTCTGAACCCGACGCGCCAGCTCTCGCTTCTTTCGCTCTCGCGCACGTGTAACAATCCTTTCACGCTGAAAAATCGCACGCACATTTGTTTGGAAGGGTGGCCACGCGCCTGCCCCTCCCCCCCCACCCTCCCCTCCGAACGCCGCGCGCGCACACCCCCGGCCCGAATTTCTCTATATCAGTTACAGTAAAAAATAGCGTAAACGGCACTGTATTAGGAAGAAGCAAAATACGTGTTACGTCTCGTTACTTTATCGTTGAATAAATACTATATGCGTTCGTATCATCTTTTCATTTTCCCTCCCACGCGTCGTCGTTTAAAAATCCTCTGGGTGAACCGCGATCGATCTATTACTTTAGTTTAATCGGTATGATTATTACTCGGTAGTTATCGGTAATTATTAATTAGCGTTACAATGCTGTAAATTAGTGCTCGCTCGTGTCGGAACGCGCGACGAGGGCCCGCAGTACCCGCGAAACGGTGGGTTTTTTTTCGGGACGCCCCGCGCGTCCGGGCCCTCGACCTCATCTCGCTCTGTGTCTCCCGTTTCTTTCCTTCTCCCTTCAGCTCTGGAAACAAACCCAAGAGGAAACAGAAGAAGAGAAAATCAAACGAAGGGTCTATGTATACGTGGACTATGTATAGATGCGTATGTATACACGTTCTCTTCTCGTACGACTTTTTTTTTTCTCTCTCTCTCTCTCTCTCTCTTTCGCACTCGTCACGCTCGCGCTATCATTCGATCTTGCTCTCTAACTATACTCTCGGTCGCTCCGTTTGTTTGTCACTTAATTACAAAGCACGAGAGGGGCCGACTCGTCGCTTCGCGATCACCTCGATTCGTACCCCGCGCGGTGAACAATTTCCTCGACTCTTGTCGTCGAGGACTCCGCGGGAGGATGGATCGTCGGCAAAACCTTATTCGCGTGACGGATGACGAACTGGAAAAGGCGGTTCGATCGATCGAATGAACTCGTACGTTCCCCGTGAAATATATGATTTCGATCTGTAATTCAAAGTTCCTTTTGTTCGTTAAACGATTGTTTTCGATGCCGATAAGGATTTCGCATGCTCGATGGATCGCGGAGCAGGCGAGCTGCCCTTCCGCGAATACGTTCAACGCTAGTAGTTAAATTTCATAACTTTAGGTACTAATGTGTCTCTTCTTCGACTTCGTCGTTCTTCGGCTCGCCCCTCGTTCCGCGAATATTACTCCCCCGTCTTTTTCGAGTGACTCACGGCTTCGTACAATTTCTCCGCCTATCATTGTAAAACTATGACGTCTAAAATGTTCGAATTAACGCTAGATCCTCGATATTAATAATCAGATCGGATAAATTAATAGTCGTTAATAACCGTGTATGTATCCAACTAGGCTAGACTTCGACGGAAAAATATATTTATAAAAAGTTATAATATTAATATACGTTTCAAGCGTTCTATATATATATATTTTTTATTTATATTTATTTATATTTATATTTATATTTATATTTATATATATATATACCGTTCGCTAATCCTCTACTTATATCTAAGCTTTCATCGTCGAACTCTTGTCCTCGTACATGCTGCGATTTCTAAACCGGTGGCGCTCCTACTCAAACGAGGAGGCCACGTGGGTGTGTATGCGTGTTTTCTGTGTGTAATGTTCTGTGTGTGTGTGTCTATCTAATATTTTTTTTTTCCTCGATTTAATAATCGTAATAACTGGCTAAACTTTTTCTCACGCTCAAGCACACGCTCATTCGCTCCTTTTCTAGCCACACTTTCGTTCCTTTTTGTTCACCCGTTAGAAATTTACAGACAAATAAACTCGAGCTTTCCAAGCGTTTGAAATGAAATAATGCATGAAACCATCGCACGCGCGCCTCTCGTCTAGCGCAACGTCTCGGCAACGCAAATTTTCCCCAACTCGCGTTTCGTTTTCCCCAAATTCCCTTTTCGGTTCTCCCTCCTTCGCCCTCTTCTCCAACCCTTCTCGCGTTCACGATCGAACCACACCGAGAGAAATTCAACGAACCTCACCCCGAAAACAAATTCGTCCGTCTCGACGAACGCCATCGCGAATCAATTTTCATCGTTTAGTTTTGTTTGTTTGTTTGTTTTTTTATTTATTTATTTATCTTTTGTTATGTATCTTGGATGGAATCCGTTCCTTATTGGCTTAAACAACGCGAACGCGCGACTTTCGAACGCGTTCGATACTTGAATCGTCCCCGTCTACTCTCATCGAGAGCATCGACGCGCTCGATTAATAATATCGTTAAACATTATACAACTCTGATTTCCCGTTCTCTCTCGTAATTCCTTCGTTTGCCCCGATTCAGCTTCGTCTCGTCATCCTTCTATCCCTTCGACGCGCTGCCTCGATACTCCCGTCACGAAAAATATCTCTCTGATCGCGCGCTAGCAACTCTCGCAGCTTTTCATGCATTACTTAATTCCAACGTCGCGCGATCGTTCGATCGTCCTCCTATCCTCTCCCTGGCTCTCGTAATCGCGACTCGGGGGGCCCCCGACTGCCGTGGACCGTCCTCGAACCCGCGTGCCCCCTCCTTTTTTCAAGGGACGACACGAAATTAGCCAGTAAACAAGTTTTGGCAAGGACCGACGCGCGGACAAACAGCGCCGAAGAGTAACGTTTGGCACGCTTGTTTGGAAAAGAAGGATTCAATTGACTTTACAATCTGTGTACATTTCTGTTTTGATTCTGCGTTCAAAGATAGAATATTCATTTCAAAACACAAATAACCACAAAAGAACGGAAATGCTGGCGTATTCGTACGATAATATATTCGTAAATACAGCGTGTTTAACGTGAAAAGCGTTTGACTTAAAAATAAGTTTGGTGGGCACTCTGCAAGATTCGCGACCTTTCCTAGACTTTCCGAACAATATTCTAAATACGTTTCTTTTAGAAAGCATCGTTTCCTAATTTCCGAGGGTATGTCAACGGATACTGCATTAAATATTTCCTTTACCAAACGAGTAGCAAAAATAGTCACTATTAGACGCTGTCTGTCGCAGCGTTGAAAACAGTGGCACGAGCTTTTCATCGATTGAACACATATAATCTGGCCAACAGAGTAAATAAAAAATGGCGCGACTGGGTTAAATATAAAAATAGCAAACTTCTGAACACCGTTACCGGAAAAGAAGGGCAACGAAATGGGTTCGAAGAGTCTACACACCTTGTCCCTGAACCGCGGGGGTGCTTTTGTGCGAGGGGCCACCGCGTCCCTGTCGTTTTGTGCGCCTCCGAACCATCGTTGCGACGACCAACGGTGCCTAGTTTACGAGTAAATTATCTTTGGTATCGTGCCCGAGTCTTCCATTCGCGAAACGATCGCTAAGGGTGATTTAGTAGAACCTTAACCGGATTAAAACGCGAACTCGCGTTTATCGTATCAAACTTAGAAAACACGGTCCGTCCGCTCCCCTACCGGACCGGCGTCAAAGCAAGTCGTTAAAAATACACGCCACTCTACCACCGGAGGTACAATTAGATATTTCGCAATCGACGAGAAGTGTCGGACTCGATTCTACATGGCAGCTTCGAAACGCGCGGATTTCCGCGCCACTGTGTGTATATGTGTTTGTATGCACGTGCTCGGTACGTGTATAAAATCGCGTCGTCTTCTACGCGACAACCCGTCGTTTCGATCGCCGACCGCTGAACGTCCTGTGCCCATTCCGGACCTGACCTCTTCCCACGTAACGAAGAGTCAAGTAGAATTACGTTTATGCATATGACGTTTCCGATCGGAACGTGCATTCCTCCCTTTACGTTAAGAGCGAAAACCCCTTTCGTTTATGCGCGTAAATGCAGCCATCCCAAATTGAAGAAAAAGGTGGCTCACATCGCTACGATCTTCTCGCGAGAAAAGCGTCGCCTAAGCGTTGAAAATCACGCTAGACACGGAACGTTCTCGACGATCGATGACGAAACGCGACGAAATATTTGTACTGTCAACAAAGGAAACCGTGTTCGTCGATGCCGATCTAAACGGTACTCTAAGAACGAGGAACGGATAAAGGGGCCCGCCCTTTCGAGAGGAGTCTTTTCAGTCTTACCGTTTAAGGGGGCGAGTGTGGCAAGGGCGGGCCTTCGTTTCTCAATTGAAAATGGGGCCGATCGATCGGATCGATCGACAACTGTCGCGATAGTCGATGAACGGAAAAATGCGCCGCGACAAACGTACAAGTCGGTTTCTCGTGTGTTTACGGTGTATGTCGTGTGCGTGTAAAACACGAACGAAACGAGAAGAAAGCGACGTGACACCCTCGCTCGATTGTTCACCGAATCCCGTCGATATCTTCCGCGGTAGACGAGCCAACTCGACGGACGATTCCACGAAGAGAACAATTCAACAATCAAGAAAACGTTGGATCCTCGCGAAGCTAACCCAAACGTTCCCGTCGTTCTCGTAAAGGAACAGGGTTTCCTGTAATGTCTAAATATAGTCGATGCAAACTCGATGTCAGCAGCGTACAGCGTTGTAGCAAACATTGGCGCGTGTATAGCCTATTACATCCTTTCGTTACAAAAAAATGACACTCTATGTACAGTCGATTGGTAATTCGAGCGAATTTAGCAGAAACACTTGAGCGACATCCGGGTTAGCGTCGCGAATCTCGATAGCAGCGACGCGAATTCGTGTGAACAAGAGACCGTCGAGTTCATCGCCGCGTCCATCGTCTGAAATTCGTCGAAGAGAGTCGTTCGAGTCGCACCACCCTCCCCTGACCGTCTCACTCTCTGTCTTTCTCTCTGAACCCCTAGAAAACATCTCGTCATATAGAATATATCACATACGCGTTACCTCTAAACACACTGAAATAAGAAGCACTTTAAGATAGATGTCTACGTGTACCATCGGGCCCAGATTTCTAGGTGGACTGAGTCTCTCTTAATTCTTTCCCTCTGCCGTTCGTAACAACTTTCCAACCGTTGTATATGTTACTTTTTTCATCTCTTTTGTATATACGTATTATTTACATACAAGCCCTGTACCTCTACTCTCGTCCCTTCTCCCTCGCGTTCTCTCTCTCTCCCACGCTCTCTGTTTGTCTCCTTCTGCATCTCCCAAACACCTGTCACACACGCTTTCTCTCCCCTTGCTCTCTTCCCTCACTATTACGTATATTGTGCAGGTGGTGAAACGCGCGTTTCCGAAACGTACATTCGACGAAATTAGGAATCGGCCGCGGGAAATTGTCGGCGGTGGCCAGCCGCCCAGACTGTAAGCGGCAGTTAACTCTTCGCAGCACGAACGAACTTTGCGGAAAATGGTTATTCGAGCGCAGCGGTTAGCAACGGTGTTCACAGTCCGTCGACAATTTACCGCGCGCGCTTGTTTGTTGTACCACATTTGTCAGTGTTTCACCGCTTTCATTTTAGCTCGAGTCTCTACTCAAACTCTTGTGCTGCGAAAAGTTACGAGTGTCTGCCGATTAACTCTAGGATGACTTCCATAGAGGATGACTGTAATCAATGTACGTTTTCTTTTCCAATAAACAGAACGATAGGAAGAATAATAAAAAAAACGCACGAATGACGTTAAAGCTACACAGAGAAAACGACAATTTTTTCTGAAAGAACAAATATTAATTAGAAAAAAAAGCAGAATGCTCCGCGAATGTTTAAAAACGTATACGATCAATCAAGACTCGAGAAGTCGTCTTTGGGTTAATCATCGTAAAAGGCAACGCGGCGATCTCCGCGATTTCACGATCGTGTTCTCACGGTGCCCGCGATTACGGAGCCAAACGACAATTTCCCTTTTCCCTCTACTTCTCTTGTCAAATTATTTTTCCATCCGAGAAAAAAAAAGAACAAAGCAACGCCGCGATTATCGGCACGATTATCCGTTGATTTCGAGGCACGCGGTAGTATTACGCGAACAATAATGGCACTGTCGATCGCTCGCTCGTTAAATATTACAACATTAGAAAAATCGCAACGCGAGTCCCGACGATAGTCTCTTTTAATTGACTTCACGCGAGAAGAAACCTTGCCGTAATACTACTCGCGCGGTATTCGGATATAAACGGCGGAGATCGCGACGTCGCGAGACGATTCACCGTCCCGTCGATCGAGCCTGATCACCGGAACTCGATCGACACGTGAGAATACTGGCGTCTTCCTCGGAGGACAAGGACTCGAAACTGTCCTGACGATACTTCGCTGGCCGTGATCATAGAAGAGGTGTTTCATGTTTGTGGTTTCTCGATTCCGGTCGCGACTCTTCTCGTGACGCGATATCGGCGATCTCTGGACTCGATCGACGCGCGTGTATAATCGTAGGAACAAACCCTAGGCGACTTGAGACAGCCTCGAGTGGAACAGATAACCTCGAACCTACCTGAATTGGGCAGCGATTACTTCAGCGATAATCCCTCGCAACTGCCAGACTAATCGTAAACTACGCGCCACAGCGCGCCTCGTCACGTTCAGGCTCTCCAAGTTCCAGCATCGGGATACCGTCAGGTCGGACTCGAATCATTGGCACTCTGCGAGTAGAGAGCCCCCTGCCGTCCATGGGAACAATTTTTACAACAAAATCGCTGCGTTTGCTCCGGCAATTATACCTGCGATTTCAAACGGTCTGGCGAACGCAACCGAGGATGCGTAACGCGCAACGAAACCGGACAAAAACAGGGAAAGTCAGCGCGCATAGGTCCGAGACGACCGAGGCCGATTTTTGTTCTCTCCGGCTCGACGACTCGAGCACACCCTTACTATACAGGATCGGAACGCGCAGCGGAACCGTAGAACGGCGTCCCGGCGGCTGGCGTCGCGTAACAAGAAGCGGAGTACGACGGCGGCGGTGAGGTGGACGCCGACGCCGACGACGACGACGACGACGACTATGTCCGATAGATGAAACTGCAGGGCGGTGTCGGCGGTGGCGGCGAACCGCCTGTCATGGCGATCGATACGAGGGTTGGCGAGGGTGACGAGGAGGGAGGTGAAGGGGAACTGGACGAGACGCTGGAAGGCGGCGAGGGCGATTCTAGCGTCCTCGGGCCCGCGAGCTCGCGGTTCGACTGTCCCCCGGAAGTCACAATCGCGTTACGGCGATTGCGCGTTGGCCGTCCTAGGCTCCGGTGACGGCCGCCTCCCTCCTCGCTCGTTTCTCAGAGATAAACCTTCTTCACGCTGCGGGTGGTCGCGAACCCGTCGTTGCGTCGATACGCGTCACCTTGATGGGATCGTAGAGTCCCGAAGTTGTCCCTGGGCCCGCGGAAACCGTAACCGTCCGGGAACTGGAACAGCGTTTCCGTCGGCGTTGGTGGCGGTTTTCGCATCGTGCCCTTTGGGGAGTGGAGCTTCGGCGGCTGCGGAACGAGCACCGGTTCCGCGTACGTCACTTCCTCCTGGGGCAGTAACTTTGGCTCTGGCGCTAACCGGCTGCAACGCGCGATACTAGTTATCGATTTGCTCGTCTCTTTTTTCAGTGCTCTACTCCTTCGAACCTTCCAATAGTCGACGACTGCTTACCTATTGACGTTTTTGCGTTGCTCAAAGTACTCGTATTCCGTGTCGGGATACGGCAGATTGTCGTCTTCGTCTTTTCTGCATTTTCTGCCGCACAGGTAGCCCGCCACGAAGCCGACCAACAGTGCCGCTAGCGCTCCGGCTACCACGGCCATCACCAGGGTTTCCACAGAGTACTGCGGCGGTGGTGAGTCTGCTGCCGACACCTCTGGACCTGAAAGAAAACGGGAGATCGCGATAAAAGTAATTAAAATTATGACAGTTATGACTCGAGATCCAGAAGCTGAAGCTTGATTTCGTGCCAGATGCATCCATGATACCGATCGTTCTTCTACCTACCCGAGCTATCCTGCTCCTCGTCCTGCATAATGTTGATGATCTCCCCTCCCTGGCCCTCCTTGTTGGGGATCATCGAGTCCTGGGAAAATTTGTTCTGGTTCGCGGAAATAGCGCCGACGCTGCTTGGGTCCTTGTTCGTCCCTTTGTTCAACGGACAGGAGGAGTGGGAGCCGGTGGCGACGCTTTGCAAGAATCTGCTGGCGTCCGTGGCCGCTGGTCCGACCAAGGCCCTGCATTTGCCTTCCACCTTGTCCCAGGCGCAGTAGGGATCCTGCAGGGCCACGCACTCGCCGCACGACAAGATCCTATCGCTGTAGCAGCGATGGAGCCTCAGGGCCTGAACCTGGCTGTCGGCGATCACGACCAGTCTGCCGTCCTCGAGGCCGTCGCCGGCTTGCGAGGCTCTCACCACTTTTATCCCTCGCACCGGTATCGTAGACGGGAACGCCTGGATCTCCTCGATCACCACTGGACTGACCTTCAGGTGAGTGTCCGCTGACTCTGCGTTCACCGCCTTGATTACCTTCCCGTTGTCGGTGCCGATGAACAGCACGTCGTACGTCTTGCCGCCTGGCGTTTTCACCTGGGGGTCCACGGCGATCTGGGTGAACCTGTAACTGGTTTTTGGAAAAATAAACAAATTTCTCATTAAATTTTTTACTTCGTGTTCCAAAGAAACGAAACCTAAGCAAACATTGTTTAGGTTGATTTGCTGCGTCGAAGCTAGTGGTGACTGAGAGTTGCCTCTCGAGTGCAAAGGGTAAAGGATCAATAACGAAGAAACGTGAAACTTACTGGAAGCTGGTGCGTATGACGATAGGCTGCCCGAAGAAGCTCGGGACCAGCTCGTCCATAAGGGAGTGCGTGTGAATGAAGTTGAGAGTCAAGTCGGGCAGCGTGCGAGAGTCGTTGACGCATTGACCGGGTCTGGGGTCCGGGACCTTGGTGCTCTGCACGGGCAGCCAGTTCGAGTTGATGGCGCTCTGCTCCTTGAAGTTGCCCTTGAAGGTGTCGGCGATGTCCTGCAAGGAGAACGCGCAGACGGCCGAGCCGCTGATGCTGTTCACAGGGGTGGTGAAAGTGCCGTATACCAGCTGCGCGGACTTATTCCCGTACTGACCCGATATCAGTTCCGTCGTTGATTCTGCAAATAACGTCAGCTGTAATTTCGCGATGCCCTTTATTTGCGCGGCCGTTCCCCCGTGGTCGAGGAGACATTTACGAGCGCACCCGATGAAATTTATTTCCTCAGCTCCACGGTGAACGGTGCGTTTTAATAATTGATCGCGCCAAGATCGATCTCTGACCCAAGGGAATTCGTGTATCTTTAATTTTATTTCTGATGTAGCGATAGTTGATTCAGAAGCGAACGTTGAAACGAGTTTTAGTTTGTCCGTGGTGTAACAACCTCTACGCGTCGAACACCTGTTCGAGAATGGGTAAACAGAGATCGATTGTGCGCACTGACGCAGCGTTATGCAAGGATGAATATGAAGTTACTTACGTATTTCGTTGAAGTAAAAAGGAAAGTCTCCGGTGACGGAGCAATTTAGACGAGACTTTAGGAACGATGTCCACCTATTGCGATACCGATGCGGCCCGCCTCGATCGTATTTACAGACTCTCGCCACGCGAGAATAAACGGTCTGCAACACGAACACGACGAAATCACAATAAACAGATTGTACAGATTTCATCAGAGTTCTTTCACGTTTGCCGTTCTTCGTCCAATGCTACGATTATCGTTAAAATTTTTCACATTTGCGTGGTCCGAAGACAACTCCGATCCAAGTAATGAAACATTTGCATTACGGACTGGACCTTTCCGTTTTTATTTATGTAAGCTCTCGAGCCCTCTCCAGCAAACACGAAGGATTTATTCCGCCATTTGCCGCGAGTCGTGGATCGAGTCGTCGCGGAACGATCGGTAAGATCGCGTCTGTCGCCCTCTCGATTCTCCCCGCGTTCCGATATTACGCGTACGTGCGTCGATGCATTTTCGTCGTCGCGAAATTACACGCGATATCCTCGACGTAGCGGGAGAAACTCGATGGCGGGCATCTTTGTCGACAAATTGGACTCGAGGTTCGCAACTAGAGACGTGCCTCGCGGTTTCAAATTTTCTGCGTAGCTCGTCGCAAATTGTTCGCCGTTGGCGGGGGACTTTTCGAACCAAGTTCGCAAGATACTGCGACGCTCGTCGCGTTAGGCGAAGATGAGAAAATTTGGAGTAACGAATAAAAGAACCACGAAGAAGCAGACTCTAAATTGTTGAAGTCGCGAAAGCTAACAGATTTATGTTTCTGAAAACTCTATACCCGCGTCGCGAGCAATTCGATTAAACGACATGGAATAAAAATCGCTTGGAATTATTCGTGATATAGTATAGCGCTAAAATTGTGCCCATCGCCGGGAGTAGGCCGAATCGCCGATTAAAGTTTCCGGGAACTTCAATCCGTTACAGTTTCGGAAGGTTTAATCGTCCCCGATTTTCCGGTCGTTTCACGAAATGGATCCCGCGCTCGCGAAACTAATTGCGCAATTAAGCGGCGCGAACTACTTACCTTGCCGCAATTGATATATTCTACAGCAGTCTCCCGGAAGAAGAAGTAGACGAAGTCTCCCTGGGACATGGAGCTCACGAAGTTCGGCGCTGCAATTAGAATGCGAATGCATTACATGGCTATTATTGTTATTACGTGGGACGCCCGGTAAATGGCGGCCATAAAGTTCCCTTATAAATAAACGAACGTGATAACTAGCCGGGGCCGGCACAATGGACGGTGCCGCAATAAACTCTACTGATAACGGGCCGACGGTGGCTCGAAAATAAAGACGCGTCCGTTCGTTAGAGATTCTGCGGTTCATGAGAACGTAACCCCTCTTTGTTGCCCGAGACCAGCTGAATCTCCTCTCGCGGGACACAGTTTTACGATAAAAACGGTAATAATAAAAAAAAGTTTGATCGTTGCATTAGTATTGTCTCATCGAGATATCCGATCCCGGATCATGTTACTGTCCATTTATCGTAGAGAAACTTGTGCATTTAAGGAGACTGTTGAATTATATACGTTTATGAATTTTAGGCAGGACCGAGCACTTGCGAGAAACGCGCGGAGTACCTCTTGTGGCGAGGACATGAGGTGCCACTGCACTGTCTTTGTTCCCCTCGAAGAGGTGATTTCCTTGCCAACGGAAGCAGGAATTTTATTCAAATTGAAAGATGTTGCAGCCCATGTACCGATAAGGGTGTTTTGACAAGGCAGCATTATATACGAAGAATAAATAAGGTCTCAGCGCGCTACTCGGAGCTACACCAGAGTTGATTTTTGATTTCAGCGTATTTGGAGACGGTGTTGTCGCACTTGACTTGAAAGCATCTTTCCCGGAGATAGGACGGAGGCGCAAATGGAAGGATAATCCGGCGTTGTTTCCATCGAGGTTATCGATTCCCCGTTAAAAAATCATTACACTTCTTTCGAGGCAGTTTCCAATTACTGCCTCGACAGATCTCTCCGTCGTTCGTCGAGCGTCGTAAAAATCAATTTTATTTTCCGTCCGGGCGTCGAGGAGCCCGCGACAGCTTCTCCGCGACGCGGAAATAAGCCAACTACGAATACGTAAGAGGCCCCTTTATTTTCTCGGTTATTCGAGCGCCGTCGCGCGGTGAAACGACGCGGTCCTCTTCTCCTGTCTCCTCCTCCGTTCTCAATTTTTCTCTCCTCTACCTCGTCGCGCGCAAGTGCCCGATAAAGTGGGAAAACTTTATCGATTTATTAACTTGACAGGGTTTTCATAAGCTTCTTAGGATTCATAAAGTAATATTAATCTCGCGCGGCGCGTAGGTATATCCGACCGAGCCGCCGCCGACACCGCCGTCGCTTCGGCCCATAAATTTTCTGTCGTTTTCTCGCCCTCTCTCGCTTCCATCCACCCTTAGGTACCTCTCTGTCCCGATCCATCCACCGTTCCACCTCGTCGTCCAGCTGTCTTTCTTTCTCGGCGCATTTAACCGCGCCTCAATCGAGACAAAGTGCCGGAGAAATTCGTGGTGGACGAGTGGAACGAGCACGGAATGGGAGGAGATCGGGAAACCCACCACCGTCCACGCTCGCCCTTTCCCTCCCGAGCCTTTCCTCGATTACATCAGCGTTTCCCAATTGTTTTTAACCGCGTTGCACGCTCGAGCTTATCGCGCATTTATGGAACGCCACATTCCTCTGTGGTTGTTTGATTTATAAATTGAAAAGTAAATAAGTAACGTTGGCATACATACTACAAATATTTTTGAAAGGAAAACCGTAAGACCATTCGTAATTCGAAAAATTATATGGAAACGGCGATACAAAAGAGGTGCACGCTACCAGCTACAAACTTTTATTTACCTTAGCGATTCTTTAACGAGTATTTCTTATAATTATTTGCAATCACGCGTGCTCAGCAAAAAGAGGCAACGACGATACAATTAGTCGGCGCGAGAATCAAATAATTTCGACGCGTTCGACCCTGTTGCGTTTTTTTCCGTCACCCGAAGCCAGCAGAGTTTTCGATATTTGTTCGGCACCGAACGACAGAAATTCCAAATAACCAAAGAGAGACAACGATGGAGAGAAAGGGAGAGAAGAGGGGGCGAGAAAATTGAATTTTCAACGGACGGAGGGAAAATCAATATTATCCAGCGGGTGGAGAAACTTGATTAGCGCTCGTAGACCGTTCAATTAAAATACTCTAGCGGACAAGTCAACCCCTTGGAACAAGGTGACGCGTCAATTCTACCGCGCCCTCCGTTTTCCGCGACTAGGGAGAGACGTCTCCAGACACCTGAACGTCGCGGCCACCCGCACCGAAACGTCGAATGGCGCTCATAAAAATTTCTGGCCCTTGGAGCTTGTCAACCCCGAGTATCGGCCTCATAATTCTACCTTACCTGGGCCCGACTCGAATAAAATTCGACCTTTCGGTAAATCGCAGGGGAATCGTAACTTGCGCCGCTCCACGTTTCTCGGACTACGTTAGATTTTTTCTCGGCGTTTACAAAGTGCTCGTTGCGGAGCAGCGACAGCTCGGCGACACGAAATTCATTCTTAACGCGACGGAAATAATTGAAAGACTTCGTAGAGAATTTTCAGGTAGCTTAACCTTCGCGTTTTGCTCCAGCGATGTCCGGTGAAGTATCGAAAGATACAATAAAAACTAGATTAAAATTTTTGAGTACTTGAAGGAGATTTTATTATTTCGTATCGCAATTCGTATGAAAACGTAGATCAAAGGGTCGAGATAACGCGGAACAAATAAAAATCTCCGCGAGTATTATGATTAAATGGATACGACTACGTCTGCACCGTATTGGTTGTTAATAACCAATCCGCGAAAAAGTGTCGCGAGAGAGGGAACGAGAGCGGCGGACAGGGCTGGCACTCTTTGATCCGGATTAAAATTTCCTATCGACGGAGACGTATTTCGTCGGCGTTGTTGCTGCTTTGTCATTACACAGGTATGGAAGGGTCGCGAAATAATCTCCGGGAGCGCGGAGGTTGCGAAATCCACGTACACGCACGGTTAATCTCGGAATTACACCGTGTGGATTAAAGCTCGGGCTCAGCGACGGTCGTTGCCACGGCCGATCGCGACGTTTCCAGCAATTTCTCATCCGCGTGGCAATGGGCCAGGAATTTTCAAAGTCGGGAAAGCTCGCCTCCAGATGGCTCGACAACTTCTCCGTGGCAAATACCGAATCGAACCGCCGCTACGACTTTCGCCACCCGGGATATTGCGAACACCTCGAAATCATCGGTCGAGCTCTCCGCTTCGACGCTTCGCGATAACGTTTGCATAAACAGCGCGTAACCGTTTCGCAGTCAGCTGAATCCGCGCTAGATGGGTATTGCAGATTATCGAGGGCAGCGAGGGTGGGTCGGGACGAGCGGCGAAAAGTGCCAAGAAATTCCGAACGGTAGACTATGAGGTTCAACCTTATCGTTATTGCGCACGTCGCTTTGGAAATCGTTTCCAATGATTTCATAAAAAATTATCGTCTCTTTGTTTTTCATCCGGATGGCTTTTAGCTCGCGCGGCTACTATAATTGGGCAGACTTTATCTTCGAATAACGGGTAAAAATTGTAGATTCGTTTTTAACAGGTTTTATCAGCAGTTTCGCTGGTCCAAATGTTGGTTTACCGTTGAAACAAATATACGGATGAATTTCGAACGCGACGTAAGTGAAAATGGATGACTTTCGCGGGGAGATCCAGTAGATTACTCCTTGGATTCGCCATAACCGATTCTTACAGCGAATGCAAAGTTTTCCTTCCACTCTGCGACGAGGGGAACCTCCTAGTATACCGAGCAATAAATTCCTTGAAACGACCGCGCTCCACCGACCTCCTTCTGCTATCAAAAACACTCTGGCTGTTTACCTTCCATACCCATCGAGATGGTTCCACCCTTATTTTAATTTTTAAAAGGGCCGATAACATCGACGTACCCACCGTCGATTCATCATCGTACTCCTCGCCTATCAGTCCGCGGGACGCTCCTTGGACGTTTTTTAATTTCTAAAACGTTTCGACGGCGACGATGCTCCCTACTCTATACCGTCAGTTTCTCACTCAGACAAAGGCTCGTCCCTCAGTTTGAAGGATGTCTGTTTGCCAAACGCATAGGGGGATATTTCAATTTCGTATTTTCGTTCGATCGATCTCTGTCTGGTTCGAATGCTTCTAATAATTGAATATATTTGAATATATTTGAGAGAAAGGTGTCAACCCGTTGCATTCCAGAAACGACGCTCAGTCACCGCTAGGTTTCACGCAGCAAATCTACCAGCAATAATGTTTCTTTAGGTTTACAGTAGTCTCCGTAAATGCACAGACACCATCTCCATCACCGGGAGAGGTACAGCTCTTGACGGATCCAGAAGTTCCCCCATAGAACCGCCACTACATGTTAATTACGCGAGAAACATGAACCGAACTTTTGATCGTAGCCACAATTTCGATAATTTGGCGCAGAGTACTCACTGTTGAGGCTCTTGGAGTCGTACTGCTCGGTCTGCAACGGCTCCCTGTAGATGATCGGGTCCATGCCCGCGAAATCGGCGACGGTGCCGGTGTAGAGCTCCCCGTCCACGTATACGAAGGTGCTGTTGTGACGGGGATCGTACGGGCACATCGCCTGGCCCACCTTCTCCTTGAGTATCGTGTAATTGCCAGCGTGCACGCCGTACTCTCGGCACATCGGCTTGAACGCGTTCGTCGCGCACACCAGCAACGTGGTGCCGTCCATCTTCACCAGGATGCGAATATAGTTCTGGCAGTTCTCCTCGGGCGTGCCCTTAACCAGGCACATCTTCACATCGCTGTCGGAGGAGTACCAAGTCAGCCTCTGCTGCTCGGTCAGATCGGTCAGGCTCAGGTTGTGCACGAGATTTCTGTAAAGGAGAAAAAGGGGTTTCTGAGATTGAACGCTCCGAGGGAGCCTCGAGTCGCCTTTGTGCGCGACAGTCTTTTCAACGTTGGCTGAATAGCCCGAGCAGTTTGTCAAATGGAAGATCCCAGAAACGAGCCCCGGGTTCGATAATCGTATAATCGACTCGATTTGTCTCCCTACGGTTTAAATTTTCAGCTCCATACTCGCTCGAAACGGCACGCTTTGTCGCGGGTTAAAAGGCTACCGGAGGATACGCGGGAAGAGCCGTTATATTTCGAATTATGGCCTCGAGACTTCGTTGGACTATATCTACGAAAAAGCCTGAGCGTACTTTTCGACTATTCAGATAGAAGTATCGATAGTTGATACCTTCGTACTATTTTAACCCCGACATTTATCAACGATTCACCGCTAGAACGTGTTTAGAAAATAATCGAATGATCTAGAAATTTGTTCGCAAAATTGTCCAATTTGTAATTCTTAAAGAACCATGAATATCGGGCGTCTCCAGCTCGGTATATCAGCTTAAATAGTCAAATAACGGTACATTCACCGCGCACCGTATATCTCGAGCACGTTTTTTTCTCCAACGAAGACTATTCCTGATCCCACATTAATCACCACGCCACCGAGAAGAAGTCGTTGGACGTCCTTTTGCCTTTTCCGCTTATCCGACGCGGATATCCAGCGGTATCCTAGGAAACGCAGCTAGTCCGTCCCATCGCGTCGAATCGACAGCGAAAAAAGTCGATCGGAAGACCGAGCAGCGGAACCGCGGAAGATTCGAGCGGCGTCCCGGATCCGTTTATTACAAACGGAGGAGGATTTATGGCGCGGCGGCTCGAGATTAATATTCCTCGACTGGGATGTCCCCCGTCGACCATTCTCCGCGTTAGCTCGCGAACCGTTCGCCGTGCGCGACGTCGACGACGATTTAACGTACCCGGAAGCGACCGTGCCGCCATTTCGCTCGTTCGCGAACAATCTCTGTCGGGTCAGGACCGACGATGGGCAAAAACCAACCCCAGCGACTCGGCAAATCGATGGAACAATTAGCGTAATCTGAGCGACGACGAACCCGATCGGTTCGCGCGACCGACCCAATTATCGCCACCGAAGATAATCGATCGAGCACTCCTTGCGATACCACGGTACCGAGTAACCTGGTTATTGGTCTTCAACCGATAGTTGAATATTTCGCGTTCGAATTGGTCTGAAAACCGAACCCAAGATTCGCACGATCGATATTTTTGAAGTAAGCTAATTGTTTCGTATGTATATTTATGTATATTTGTATGTATATTTATACAAACATCCATATTTATATATATATAAAGATTTGCACTGTATATGGGTACGTTATTTTTACCATAATTCCGTCGGCAGATATAACACGCGCGATATAACACGACTCGTTCCTAACAATGATATCAAGCGTGACATAAGTTAAAATTTTGTATTCATCATCGAGAATTCGTGTTTAGAAAAGAGTCTTCGTCGTTACAAGATAAGAAATGGAATAAAAGCAATGGTATAAAAGTTGGATGCATGCGCAATATTGTTCTCCGAAGTAAATCTCGACGGAAGGTAGTTTTCGGGGGCACCGAGTTAATCAGACTCTTTAAAGTTCGAACGCGAGGGATTCTTCGTTACCGGGGGATCCGCGTTGCCAGGGCTTCGTGTTCTACATTTCGCGTCGTATCTCGCGTTTTAATTACGACTAACGTCGACTCTACTCCGTGAGAGGAAGTTTCTTGAAAGATCCGCTGGTAGGAAGTCGCGTTGCCCGGTGCCATGGATTTGCAGGCTCGTAAAATAAAGCGTACAAAGAAGTTTCTAAATAAAGTTCGACGATCTCATTAACAGGGAAGAACAGCGCTCGGTGGCTGCTCACGGAATTCATCGCCATGGAGGAGCGAAGAAGCCAGGGGAGGGAGGGGAAGAAGTAGAGGACGATAAGACTGAGAGAGAAAATCCGTGAAAACGAGCTCTCTCCGGAAGGAAAATACTCTCCGCACACGTACACATCGAGAGGGCCCCGCGTCCAGCGATCGCACAGGGCCCTCGAACCGGTACCAAAGAAGACGATGAAGAAGCGGTCCTTTAATTAAAGCACTCGCTTCAAATGAATCCTCTATTTACCTTCCGCCGACCAGAAGATAGTTCCCGTCCCGCAGCACCAGCCGAAAGTAGTCTGTGTGGGTCTCGTTTCCCGTAAACCTGAACACATCCTCCGCACCTGGAAAAGAAAAGCAGAAAAACGCCGGTTGGCTTTTGTTCCATCGTTTGAAAAGTAGAATTATCTTATTCATCTAATTAGCTGACCCTCGCAGTCTCCCCACCCCCCACCCCCCACCTCACTGTCGTTGGCGTCGTTCCTTTCGCGACTGGTCGGCTACAAATCGACCAGCAAGGTCCGCAGAATGAACGACCAAGGACGAAAGAAGACGTCCTCGATCCGTTCTTTGGTTCTTCGCGTCCACGGGCCAGGAAGTCGGCTTAATAAGCGTAATACGTTCCTTTTGACCGCGGACCCGTGGAACAAAGCACCCGATCGATCATTAACGGATCTACCCCCGGCGATCGAGCATTTTTTCAGCCCCCAGGAAGCTACTTCATTATCCGCTAATTACCTATCTATTAGTTCCAACGACCCTCTCGCCCCATCCACGATCGATCGGGTCTTCTTCGAGCCCGAGGAACCCTTCCATCCCTTCGCAATACGAGCATTTGTTCAAACCGATCGATTCTCAGTGTCGCGGACATCGATTGCGATATTCGTCGATTCGCACTCGCCGCAGCAAATTAAATTTAATTCGGTTAAACGCGAAAGAAATCGTTCAACAGGTTGAATTTAATATTAGGCGATACGACGTGGTCTCCGACAAAAGAAATACAGGTTTATATTATTGTTACTGAGATGCCAAAAAAAAAAAAATCGCAAAACGTTATCGAATCAAACCGGACATGTATTTGCAGAGTCACTGTAATCCGCAATATTTTGGAAATTGAAAAACGCCTCTCCTCTGACGGTCGTTTTCGTAACCAATTATTTCTAATTTCGTTGACTTTCTATTGCTTGTTTGGTGTAATCCATAAGCCACCATCTATACGAGCGGAATGTTCGTTATACATAATTCATATTTATGTTGGCCATAATAAATGAATTAAAATACGATCCGTATTTTAACATCGTGATTATTTATGCATGCACCTGAACGGGGTCATACGTCGATTGTCGAAACATGAACGTATCGATTGAAAATAAACACGATGCAGTTTGCTGGTATATCCGTTAATGTAACATTTCCGCCCGCACTGTATCGTTGCGTACATCGTCAACGATGTTCTTTACAGTGCGTTCAGGAACTTCGAGTGCCGAAATAATCGCATTAACGATGGGAAGGCTCCCTTCGACGTCACAGATAAAAAGCGATTCGTCAAAGTGGGCCCCAAATAGCAAATCACCGTTCGGAATCCGCGGACACCGTGCCCCACCGTTCGAGCCAGATTCTAATCGACATCTCTCATGCCGTTGGCATAATTATCGGGGTGTTTCCGCGTTTCGACGTCAGTCAATGTCGCCGGACCGGTCCCTCGTATCCGGTGGATGCAATTTAGGTCGCAGATAAGCACGCAATAGCATCAACGGTAACAATGAACGGATGCTACGGTGAAGGGGGGCCATTATGGAAGGACCGCGCCCTCCGCGGGAGCCATTCAAGCTCGCCTTTGCAAGACGCTCGGTAAAGCAATTAACGTAATTCCGATCAACTTCCAGCGCGTCTGCCTCCGTCGGGCTTCGTTCATCTATCTCCGTAGTTTCCTTGCTCTTCGCCCACCTCTTCGACGGTCCATTACGCGCGGAGCAACGACAACGGTCAACGAGACACCGTTTCTTCCAGACGTATATAATCTAGTTTTCTCCAGTTACATATTTATTTTTGCTTCCATCACGGTGAATATATGACAAAATAAAATTCCGAGGAGTCGCGAGAAATGTTAAGATGTTTAGAAATGCGAGAGAGAGGAAATTACACCTGCGTTCGCGAGCCTTCGAAACGGCACCCTTACGCGTTTCCGTTTGCCGCTTTCCGCGTCTCGCGAATTTCGTTTCATCCCCCTACGGTGTCTCGTGCGGCTGGAAAGCGCCTGGGATTCCAGCGGCTGGAAACCCGAGTGCCTTCTCGCGGAAAATGATGCTCCCCGCTCGGGATGTATAACACTCGAGTGACAAACGCAACAGGGCTCGAAATTCGCCCGGCGATTATCTATCAGTTTCCCAGCAGGCAACGTCTGAAGTGCAATTAACGCGGCTCTCCCGACACACCAGTCGATATCGATGATTCGACGGGATTCTGTCCCGCGTATGCGATCCGATCCGGGTCGCAGATAGCCGCGGAATATCGGCGATTGGGGAGCCGGGACCATTATCGGAGGGATCATACGTCTTGCACTGGGAAACGAATTAACGTCACGTTGTCCTGGCGTTACATTCTCGCCCTCGTCCGACGGGAATGCTCGACAGAGACAGGGAGAGTGCGAGAGGCCATTTCTGATGGGAAAATCGGAACAAGATCGCTCCTGGTTCCGGCTGAATACGATGGTTTACTCATCGAACGATTTCGAACGTGGAAATGTTGTACATCGCAATCGAACGGTGAAATTGATAATGTTGAGTATTGGATGCGAGGTAATAGAACGGTAAAATAATTACTCTTGTCTCTTCATAATGAAAATATATAAGTTTAATAATACCGAGGTAAGATTGAGTTCCATGCTAAGAACTCTTACGAGCGACTGACTGATTGTGTTTACATTCGGGATATGAATTTTTTTTTTGTTTTTTTTTTTTTAAAGAATAAATTATCTGTTATCAGAATAGGCTGCAGAAAAGGTCGCCCAAACGTGGGCGAATAATCGCCGAGATGGACGAGTCAGGGACCGATGGTATTTACGAACATCGCGTAGATATCGATTGATATGAGAAGCGGGTACATGGTCTCTTTCGCTGATTGGCTCTGAAATTAAACGGGGCAGCTTGTAACTCCCATCGGTCCTAGACTCGCTCGGTTATCGCTTTCCAAAATTAGCTGCTCGATTGCAATCGCGCTCGCTGGTCATTCGCGAAAAGCTAGAGAGCGCGTCGGCCACTCTATGTAATTTCGAGTTTGCACATGGGCGCGAACCGAAACACTTTTGCGTCGCGTTCCCGACAAGTACACAAAATTACAACGCGTGAATAGAAACCCTGAATGATCGACGCTGAGTGTTTCGTCAATAACTGTCGCGGTGCCGCTTCCGCGACACTTATCGACGATTGCCTGTCGTTCCTCCTATGCCAGAACGCATACATTTGATCGTTTTGGGACGAAGCTTAGAACAAACTTGTTTGGACGTATACCGTTTGTTTCGAGAATTAATTGATTCGCGAACGACCAAGAAACATCTTTACAGAGATAAAATGAAATGCATGCAACGAAGGGTTAGGACCGGTTACGAACCACTGAAACGAGCCCTCCGTTGCGGTGTGGAGCGTCGACAGGACAGAGAGCGTATCGCCTGGCGTCTTTGGCAGCCATTTGCGGTCAACGTCGCGTTTCGTCTGACAGGGAGCCGGTGATATCCGTGAAAGCCGATACAAAATGCAACCCATGGAGGCGAATATCGGCTTTCGCGTAGTTACCGAGCGGAACGTCGCGTTCCGACACCGACGACCCCGGGATTCAGGTGGCAGCGACAATCGTAATTGCACTTTTTAACGAGCGACCTTTCGGCCGAGCTTCCAGGCGTCGTACAAAGCGTTTAAGCGCGTTTCGCGGCCCGCCACCGCCGCGTCGGCGCCTCTTCCTGTCCAGTTTCATTTCAACGCTCCATTTTCTAGCGTTAACCGTACCGCGCCGACCCCTCCTTTCGTTCTCGGTCAGCCGGATCAGCAAATCGGCTGTCGCGGTGCAAGTCGCGCGCGATTAACGCATTGCGGTAATTCCTCCGTCAGAAATAAAATTCCAAGCTGTAAAACGTTGCATCGAACTCATTTCGAACACCCTCCTGACATTCCAATTTTCACCGTAGTGTTCTAAAATTGATTCTACGTTCTATTTAAATCGCGATCAAGCTCCGATGATCATCGGGAGCGCGATGATAATCGCGCTACATCGGGAGTTAGCAGATTAGCAACGCCTCAACGTACAGATGTTTTTTGTTGGTCCGATAGCCGTCTCGGCGCCGAACAACCGTCGGAGAATGGATGCTCAATATTTCATCGCATCTCGAGCGGACGCGCGTCGGATCGAAGCTGCGTCGAGCGTGGCAGGTACGACCGATAAAAAATTGACCGAGGTGGATTTGTCCAGCCCAGCGAGCCCCCCCCCCCTCCCGCCCCCCCCCCCCAAAGGGGCGGGCACAAATCACGTATATAAGTTTCCCGTGGCGCTGCCGTGTCCTGAAAGGAAGGCCGCGTATTCCGGAAATATTGAACGCGTCCAAAGTTACGAGTCGACCGTCAAACTTCGCCGATCGAACTTTGGGAGATCGCTCCTGCGCCGTTTCACCCTCTCGTGCTCGGTGCACACGACCCTCGGAGGCCACGCGCGGAGGAAAGACGCCAGAGGGAGGAAAAGCTGGCTGTGGAAACCGCCAACGGATCGTTGTCGGCTCGCAGCCACCCGATTAACACCGAAAGATGGAACGCTGGGGAAATAGCAATTAAATGCACGAGCCCCGGGGCCGAGGTCGAGCCATTCATGCGCCTTCACGTCGATCAAGCCCTATCGTGGATCTCTGGCGGTGTAATTCGTTCCTCGAGCGACTAGGGCTCTTGCGAATCGCTACAGTTTCCACCATTAAGAGCTCTAACTATTGTATTTTCATATACTAAATGTGGGATCTGTACGCCAGATGGATTTCTAACGAAAATAGCGACTATCCTCCTTCCTTTCACTTCTCGCAGAAAACAGTCCAACTGACGGGAGATATTTGATATCATAATGGAACCACTGATATTTTAATCACTGTGATTGTAAAAGAAATAGAGATACGCGCATCATTGATCGTCCTAAATATTCGTTTGCTGTAATCTCATTTAATTTCGTCAGAGTCGTCTCGTTGATTCGGCAGGTATCCGAGCTAACTTCTCGCGGATAGCCCACCTGGTTTAATCAGCCGCGACCGGGCGAATAATTTCGGAAATTCGTCCCCATAACTCGTGCGTAACTTTGCATGGTGATCGTCGTGTTC